GTCAAGGGCGTAGGGTTTCCTGGCTCTCAGCTTTAACGGTTTAGGCTTTAGGGTTTAATCCCCCGAAGAAATTTGTCGGGGGTTAGTGAGTTCTAGGCGTCAGGCGGTGAAGGTTTAGGGGTGCACGAACCCTGATTTGGGGCCACACTTTCAAAGGACCGATACTTTCTACTATGAGTTCCGTTGGAGAGCTGTCATTAGGAAAGTTTCCTACGGTAAAGACTTACTTTTTAGGGCTAGGGTTCCTTATCATGGTTTCTACATATAGTTCTTCTACTATGAGTTCCGTTGGAGAGCTGTCAATAGGAAAGTTTCCTACGGTAAAGACTTACTTTTTAGGGTTCCTTATCATGGTTTCTACATATAGTTCCTCCAGAAGGTAAGTCTTTTGGGCCACAGCATTCCCGATCTATAACCCCACTTACCTCAGTCCTCTGAGCCTTTAAGTAAGCCCTGAGCCCTAAGCCCGAAACCCTAAGCCCTAGGCCCCAAGCCCTAGGCCCCAAGCTCTAAACCCCAAACCCTAAACCCTAAACCCCGAAGCCCTAAACCCCAAAGCCCTAGACCCTAAACCCTTAGGATGGTCTCCGGGATGCTTGGGGAGCTATCGTCGGGCCCCACGGCTTCATGTGCTTTGAGGGTGCAGGGTTTAGGGTTTAGGGTTCAGGGTTTAGGCTTTACGGTTCAGTGTTTCGGGTTTAGCATTTATGGACTTCAGGGTTTAGGGTTTAGGGTTTAATTTAAGGACTTCAGGATTTAGGGTTTAGGGGTTAAGGACTTCAGGGATTTAGGGTTTAGGGTTTAAGGACTTGAGGGTTTAGGGTGTAGGGTTCCTTAAGGACCAAGAGACCCTTAAAAATAGGGGCCCTATACCCTTATACTGTGAATCCCTATATGGTATATGAACCTTGAGTCTGTTTAGGGCTCATGTCGTCTTCAAGGTTTAGGGTTTCGGGTTTAAAGATTTCAGAGTTTTACACTTCAATTTTCAAGGCTTGGGTTCGGGGTTTAGGATCTTAGGGCCCTAAACCCTAAACCCTAAACCCTAAACCCTAAACTTAGGGTTTAGAGCTATGGGTTTGGGGTTTAGGGTTCAGGGTTTAGGGGTCCCAGGCCCCACCCAGGGATTTGCAAAGGTCTCAAAGTGGCGGGATACGTTTCAGAGGGTTTAGGGTTTAGGGTTTAGGGGTTTAGGGTTCAGGGGTTTAGGCGGGGACATCACTTGGGGTTTATTCTGGTTGGCTCTCAGGACTTTCATTGTTTGGGGTCTCTGAATCAAATATAATAAGGAGACTTAAAGTTTGACTTTTTGGAGGGCTTCAGAAGTCGGCCAAGATAGGGGTGCAAGGTAGTAGTAGTCGTAGTATTAGTAGTAGTAGTAGTAGTAGTAGTAGTAGTAGTACGCGCTTTGTGCGTATTTGACGCCCTTGTTTTTGTGCATGCATGTGAGAAGCACACGGCAGGGACGTCACTTCCGCATGCGCATGTTGCTGTGAGCCGAGCGCCCTGGAACGTGGCTTATTTCGGTTCAAGTGGAAGTCATGCCTCAAGCGAAGCATGCTTGCCGGCTATGCGGTCAGACGGGACACTGTCAGGAGACGTGTCCGAGCACAGCTGGGCAGATCATCTGTGATCTGAGAGCTAAGCTTGGACAGCGTGCTGGCAAAGCAGGGAAGGAGCAACGGTGGGAGTCACAACGTCAAGCGGCTTGTCAATGTGCAGAAAGTTCCGGGCAACAATCTGCGGACATCGATTTGGTGGAAGCTTCGCAAGCTGCCTTGCCGCGTGCACTTAGCCCGCAGCAGCATAATGTGCAGATCGACTTGGTGGAATCTTTGCGACCGTAAAGTTACAATCACGACGTTAGCGAGCGGCGGGCGGCATTGCCGGCACCACGAAGCTTTTCCTATGTCTAGATTGTCAGAGGCCTCCCCATGGATCCGTGCTAACGCACACGACATTCTTTTTGTTTTGGGATGTGGCAGACAATGACGAAGTTTTGAAGAGCTTGGACGGGCTGGGAACCAGCTACAGTAAGTCGCCGGGGAGCGGAGACAGGTTGCTGCTGAAACACAAGGAGAGCAATGCTGATAAGTACAATGATGATATCGTGTATCACAAAGATGATGATGATGATGTGATTCATGATGAAGATGAAGATTTTGAGTGTTACTGTTGTTATGATGATGATGAGTATGATGATATTGTGTATCACTGTGATGATGGTGATGATGATGATGGTGATGAAGGATTTTTCCAGTATGTTATGATGATGATGTGTATGATGATATTGTGTGTCATTGTGATGATGATGTTGATGGCGACGATGAATGTCATGGTTTTCTATGTTACTGTTATGATGATGATGATGATGGCGATGAGTATGATGATATTGAGTGCTACTGTTATGATGATGATGTTGATGAGTATGATGATGTTTTTGGACATGCTCGCGATTAGCCCCCCCCACCCCCCCACCCATGATGTTGATGAGTATGATGATGTTGATGAGTATGATGATTATGACTGTATTTTAGGTCATTAAGGCGCTCGGGTCTGCATGGTCCTTGTTTAAAGAGATAAAGACGTATAAACGCGGAAATGCCGTAAATACCAGCATACCCAGGCCCTGAAACGAAGTCGTGGAAGTCCTCAAAGCAGGAAAAGCATGGCGTCAAATATAGACTAATGCCCTAGTAGTAGTGGTGGTAGTAGTAGTAGTAGTATGCGTAGTAGTAGTGGGTTCTGGGGCTCGGCGTTCTCAAACCCTAACCTCCTAAACTCCTACAGTCATAAACCCCGAACCCACGCATTGAAACCCTAAAACCCTAAGACCCTAAAACCCTAAACCCTAAATCCGTAAACCCTATATAAAGCCCCATACCCTAAACCCTAAAGCCAAAAACCCAAAAGCCCCGAAGCCTAAAACCTTAAAGCCCCGAACCCTAAAGCCCCGAACCCTAAGACCCTAAGACCCTCAACCCTAAGACCCTAAGACCCTAAACCCCGAGACCCTCAAACCTACCCTAAGACCCTCAACCCTAAACCCTAAGACTCTGAACCGGAAGATCCTGTGTTCAGGGTCATGGCTTCAGGTTTTCCTTTGCTACCAAATCGCCTGGGTTTAGGGTTTAGGGTTTAGGGCTTAGGGGTTCTACTTTTAGGATTCCTCATTCTGTCGGTTTCGGGGTTTAGGGTTTAGGGTTTGGGGCTCACGTCCTAACATAAGCCCATGGAAAGGTAGGTGACCGTAGGGGCGGTTCTTACCATCCCGAAGGCTCCATGTACCTTTATAGTAGATACTTAAGCCTGAAAGTACCTACATAGGGACCCCTTTAAGGCCTAAGTATGAAAGCACCTACATAGGGACCCCTTTAAGGCCTAAGTATCTACTAGAATGGTACATGGAGCCTTTGGGCATCCCCTATAGAACTGAAAGTTTACAGACAGTATTTTCAGGGGAGCTCATGAACTCAGCAACTCAGTGGCTCGAGGCTATTCATGCTTGAGCGCCTTTGCTTCAGCACCCTACTCCACAATATGAGAAGTTGTTTTGCAAGAAATCTGCTGTACCCTAAACCCTAAACCCTAAACCTTGCTTGAGCTAGGAGCCGGCTGTACAATCTGGTGTCGGAGCATTTGTGAGTATGGCTTCTAGAACAAATCTGGGTTCATTGTTTAGGGTTTAGGGGTTTAGGGTAAACACTAAACCCTAAACCCTAAACCGTTAGGGGTTTAGGGGTTTAGGGGTTTAGGGTTTAGGGTTTAGGATTTAGGGTTTAGGCGTGTGTCCTGCATGCTTTGCGCGGATCACCAAGGAATGAGCAAGTTTGGCGATGCCAAGAAGCAACTGAACTGGGAGTTTCCGAAACTCAGGGGTACCTTACTTTGGGGTCCTTAGAGGAAGGATCCTATTATTTAGGGTACTATATTAGGGTCCCCTATTTTCTGAAACCCTCAAGTGGCAATCTAAGGCACATTTGCCCCCTAAACTCTGCCAAAGGCATCAATAGCCCGGTCTGAGGGTTACTAAGTATAACTGTATGCTCAGTATCTGATGCATGAAAGAAACAGGCGAATGTCCGTATTTTGTGCCCGGAGGGTTTAGGGTTTAGGGTTTGATTTCTGCCCCCTCGAGCTCCTCAAAGCATACGGTGGAAGCCCAACAGTTGGAAACCCAATAGCATCAATCCTTACAAGTAATGTTTAGGGAATCCGAGCACTGATTAATTGTCCTCAATCCGGTTTCCAAGTTTAAGGGGGTTTACTATACTATGACCCAAACCCTAATTCAATTTATTACGTGAAGTCTCGGTGGACCTAGGTAAGCACTTGGAGGGTCCGGCGGCATGGTAAATATGGTTAGTTTAAGACTTGCGAGTACCATAACCCTAATTAGGATCCACTTTAGGGTGCTTATAAGTCTACTTGGTAGTACCTATACTTGCTAAGTCCCCGATTCTCCAAGTAGGTAACAAGTTCCAGATATAAGTTGGGGTTATGATGCCTATCTTTAAGCTATGTCCTGAGCTGAAGATAGATGTGCGAAGTCAGGGTTCCTTCAAGGATTACTCTAGGACAATAAGGGTTGCACCAGGCTTTTCAGGGCTCCTTCAAGGCTTGCGAAAAGGGTTTACAAGGTTTCTCGCAGGGTTCTTCGGGTTCACTGCCTACTTAGGGGTTAGGGTTCACTAGAAGGATTTCACGAGGCTTCTGAAAGGCCACTCGAGCCCCTTTAAGGATTTCTATTGCAACGTGCTTTTTGGAAAGAGTTCTGACAGGCGTTTAGGGTGCGGGGTGCAAGAATTGTTGCTGTGTGGGTATTGGGACCCCTCAGAAAGTGACAGTGTCAAGCCTAGCCTGACAAACTTTCAGGGTTTAGGGTTTAGGGTTTAGGGGTTTAGGGTTCAGGGTTTAGGGTTTTAGGGTTTTAGTGTTTTAGGCTTAAGGGTTTAGGGTGTTGTGTATGTGCTGCACATCTTTTTGCTGTTTCGGTTATTGAATAACCCCACTGGTTTTTGCTTGTTCCTGGTTACTGAACAGCCTACGAGCCTTAAATCTTGAATTGCAGGCGGTGCCCCGAAGCATTTGGTAAGTAGTTACCTTATAGGCTTATAAGTATCACAACCCCCAATTGGAGTCCCTTTTAGGTTACTTATAAGTCTACTTACTACCCACTTACTAGTCCCTAAACCCTAAACACCTAAACCCCAGACCCTAAGCCTTAAACCCCTACCCTAAACCCTCAATCCTAAGACCTAAACCCTAAACCCAAACCCTAAACCCAAACCCCAAACCCACCTACTAAGTCCCCGGACCCTCCCAGCAAGAGTCCTAAAGCCGAAACTCCATGCTCCAAGGGAGCAGCACCCGGTTTAGGGTTTAGGGCATGAGATTTAGGGCTTTGGGTTTAGAGTTCTGGGTTCTTGGGTTTAGGGTTTAGGGGTAACTTCCATTTTTTTGTTTAGGGTTCGGGCTTGACAGGGTTTGCATAATGTATGGGCCAGAATAATTCGAATAGTTTTTGGGCCCCATTATACTGTATGTTTAAACTAAGGAACTCTCCAAAATAGTATTGGCAAATATTTCGGCCCGTATTTTCGGGTTTAGCATT